CACACTTCCTTATATTTCTCTGCCACCTAGTGGTCAAAATAAATTTTGCTAGCACAATGAACCCTTTTTATGTTTTCAAAAACATTTAATGTGCTTTGGCAAAGATTAGCACAAGGGCTGATATTGCATTTCAAAAACTGCAGCCATGGTGTCTGTTGTTTAAACATAAAAAACAGGCCTTTCAAGCCACCCAATAGAAACAAAGAAAGCATAGGAGAAGACTTCCTATCGTTTCGTTTAGTCGTGTCCGACTCTTCGTGACCCCATGGACCAGAGCATGCCAGGCCCTCCTATCTTCTACTGCCTCCCGGAGTTGTGTCAAATTCATGTTGGTTGCTTTGCAGACACTGTCCAGCCATCTCATCCTCGGTCGTCCCCTTCTCCTCTTGCCATCACACTTTCCCAACATCAGGGTCTTTTCCAGGGAGTCTTTTCTTCTCATGAGATGGCCAAAGTACTGGAGCCTCAGCTTCAGGATCTGTCTTTCCAGTGAGCACTCAGGGTTGATTTCCTTTAAAATTGATAGGTTTGTTCTCCTTGCAGTCCAGGGGATTCTCAAGAGTCTCCTCCAGTACCACAATTCAAAGGCATTGATTCTTCGGCGGTCTGCTTTCTTTATGGTGCAGCTCTCACTTCCATACATCACGACAGGAAAGACCATAGCTTTGACTATTCGGACTTTTGTTGGCAATGTGATGTCTCTGCTTTTTAAGATGCTGTCAAGATTTGTCATCGCTTTCCTCCCAAGAAGCAGGCGTCTTTTAATTTCGTGGCTGCTGTCTCCATCTGCAGTGATCATGGAGCCCAGGAAAATAAAATCTGTCACTCCCTCCATATCTTCCCCTTCTATTTCCCAGGAGGTGATGGGACCAGTGGCCATGATCTTAGTTTTTTGATGTTGAGTTTCAGACCGTTTTTTGCACTCTCCTCTTTCACCCTCATTACAAGGTTCTTTAATTCCTCCTCACTTTCTGCCATCAGAGTGGTGTCATCTACATATCGGAGGTTGTTGATATTTCTTCCGGCAATCTTAATTCCGGCTTGGGATTCCTCCAGTCCAGCCTTCCGCATGATGTATTCTGCATATAAGTTGAATAAGCTGGGGGACAATATACAGCCTTGTCGTACTCCTTTCCCAATTTTGAACCAATCAGTTGTTCCATGTCCAGTTCTAACTGTTGCTTCGTGTCCCACATATAGGTTTCTCAGTAGATAGATAAGGTGGTCAGGCACTCCCATTTCTTTAAGAACTTGCCACAGTTTGTTGTGGTCCACACAGTCAAAGGCTTTTGCATAGTCAATGAAGCAGAAGTAGATATTTTTCTGGAACTCTCTGGCTTTCTCCATAATCTAGCGCAAGTTAGCAATTTGGTCTCGAGTGCCTCTGCCTCTTCGGAATCCAGCTTGTAATTCTGGGAGTTCTCGGTCCACATACTGCTGAAGCCTACCTTGGAGGATTTTGAGCATAACCTTGCTAGCGTGTGAAATGGAAATGTTGAAAATAGGTACAGTACAGTATTACGTTTGTAGGAGGAGAAGCAAATGAAGCAACCACAGACATTTAGGACAAAAAGGGAGTCCAATGAGAGAATGCTCAAAGTAAAAAAGCAAGAGGATACAGCACATTTCGGTAGTGTAGCAGTAAAGAAGGTAGAAGGGCAATTGGGTGATAGCTATATTGTTAGGTCTCCATAATTCTGAAGTGAATTGTTATGACAAGGTGTCCATGTCAGAGGACGAAATAACAACATCAGTTCAGGTTGGTAACAGTGACCATTTAGCTTAGTCATCTTTTTTGGCTCCTGCTGACAGGGAAAAATTGGCCTCTCTGAGGGAAAGGAAAGCTCTGTTCTAGCAGGAGGTCACAATGGTGCTATAGTACAGAGACACAGATCATATTATTTAGTAGACCACATTGCACGTTATTTAAAAATATATTTTCAGATGAGTGTTTCCCAGCCCTTTTCAATTTGTGACCATTTATTATAACCAAGTAACCTGCAACCTCCCACATCTGCATTCATAGGGTAAAGAAAACACATTAAAATAGTTTTTAATGATAATAGTGATGCATAAAGTGGAGTGTTCCACTGCCTCCCTCCTCCCTCCCCTGCAACATGCACATGAGGGAGAAAGAGAGGACACATTGGTCCACATTTAAACAAGCAAGATAGAATCGGTTTTACATATTTCCACCAACCAAACCCACCCAGATAATACTATCTCCGCCTGTCCCTACTCCTTATCAGCTCATCTTGTCTTCCCCAGTTCCCCACACTTCTGCAACCTCTACAGGGGCCAAGCTGTTGCGGGTACTGCTACCTCCATTTACCTTGGTACGGAGAAGCTGCCTGGCCCTGGCCTGAGGATTGAGACCCTGATTATAAATGAAAGAAGTCGTCTCAGGATGTAGAAAATAGAAACAAGCTCTTTATTCTGTACAGTTGTGCCTTGCTTTATGACGATGTTTTTGCGATCACAATTGCAATCGCAAAACAATGGTCTAAATGGGGGAATTTCGCTTAGCGATGATCGGTTCCCTGCTTCGGAAACCAATTTTCGCTTTACGATAATCAAAAACAGCTGATCGTCGGGTTTTCAAAATGGCCACCAGGTGCTTAAAATGGCTCCCCGCTGTGCTTAGGGATGGATTCCTCGCTATACAGGCACAAAAATTGGCCGCCGTGTGGCAGATCTTCGCTGGACGGTGAGTTTTTAGCTCATTGGAACGCATTGAATGGTTTTTAATGTGTTTCAATGGGTTTTTAAATTTTGCTTTACGATGTTTTTGCTTAACAGCGATTTTCCTGGAACGGATTATCGTTGTTAAGTGAGGCACCACTGTATTTCAATGAATTGTTAAAATTCATTTAAAGAATGGGTGAGCGCGCTTCAGTAAAGGCTTCTTCAGGAGCTAAGCACAACACAACCCCCCCCCCAAGACAACCTGGCTTGGGACTCTCAACTTTCAAGAGCTAAGCATAACACAAAACCACACACACACACAGGCTTTGGACTCTCAACTTTCAACTTTATATAAATATATACATTTTTACTCAGCACATTAGGCATGATAAAATATATCAGACAGAATATCGAACACTTACTGAGCTTCTTTATACTCTCTGCACCTTTCTTTGGTCTATATCAGCTCCAAAATTAATTGAAAGTGTTCAAAAGTGCAGGCACTAAGAGAGGAAGCATTTGTACATGTATATGCAGGGTAGCAAGATAACCAGCCCAGCAGTGTTATCATAATAAATGGAGAAAGTCTATTTCTTCGTTTAACTCATGAGTGTTCAATTTCAGGATCCAGTCAATTTCCCTTTTTAGTAAAGACCTTTTCCCCTCAGCCTTGTTAAAAGGGCGCTTTAATAACATTCCTTATAGAGAAAGGATCTGCCCCTGTGGGGAAAAAACAGTTGAGTCCTTGCCACACACCATATTAGAATGTAGCTTATATAGGTCTGAACGTAACTGTTACCTCTACCCAATAATGTATAAATGTACTCGTATACCTCCCACAGACTACCTAGTTGTTTGTTTCTTAAATTACCAAGGTGTTCACCCATTTGTACTTTAAGACATCTGAGGTTTTTCCTTGTTGTTGTTTAGTCGTTAAATCATGTCCGACTCTTCGGGACCCCATGGACCAGAGCACACCAGGCCCTCCTGTCTTTTACTGCCTCCCAGAGTTTTGTCAAATTCATGTTGGTAGCTTCGGTGACACTGTCCAACCATCTCGTCCTTTGTTGTCCACTTCTCCTCTTGCCTTCACACTTTCCCAACTTAGGTTTTTCCTAAGTACAGTTTATTAAATGGGCTCCTTATAGCATAGATAGAGTACTCCCTTGGTATTACAGTTAGTGGTATTACAGGAGGCGGGATGACAAGCCTCTCTGTCAGGTCGCAGAGTGGCTAATCCATTGTGGACAACGGCGCAATAGGAAGGCTCTGTCAAGTGCGCGTCCGCGGCAGAATGGTGAATGGACAGTTCAGCTCTCGCCATTTCCACCTGTGGGGGGATAGTCGTATACGAATACCCCCATCTCTAGTTACAATTTCTTGCATTTTAGCAAAGCAGTTACCCATGAACACAGCATCTTATCTCTAAGGAATGTCGATTCTCCCTTACAAAGCACTTCTTCTTCTTTGCTCTCTTCTTACACAAGGGCTGTCCTTAAAAACAGTTTTAAAACTTCAGCAGGTCCAGTATTCAGTGGCCAGACTGATTTCTGGGACTGGCAAATTAAATCATACATCCCCAGTCTTGGTGTGCCTTCCTGTCAGTTTCTGTGCTCAATTCAAAGATTATGACCTATAAAGCCCTTAATGGTTTAGGACCTCAAGACTTGTCAGAAGTCTCTCTCAGAAATTAGCTACCCACTTCACCCACTACTATTTTGTGAAAGACAGCCACATTGAAGGAGGCCAGAAAGGCAACAACAAGGAATTGTGCCTTTTTTGGTGGTGGCCCCCCAACCTTTGGAATAAGCTACCAAATGAGATACTGTACACCAGGTCCCTTTCCTCCTGATGTTCAGGGAATTGGTGAAAACACAATTACTGTACACAAAGCCACCCAGAAGCTGTTAATATTATTTTAAATTTTTTCTTGTTCTTTTTGTAAGAATTTTACCTGTGAATCACCATACTGTACAATATATTGTCATATGGTGTCTTCTGGGGTTCTAAGTTTTAATCTGTAAACTGCCCAGAGCAGCACTTCCATTAAAGGAGTTGTGTATTAATGAAATACATCATACATACATAAGGGCCCAACTTTAGAAAAAAGGAAACCATTATGTACAGTGTATAAGCTCAATACATTTATGAACTAACCAAAGTTCTACTGAACTTTAATTATCCAAGTTTTAATTACTTAAGACAATTACGTATCCCAGAATCCAACACTCTACCAATAGTCATGCACAGTATTTAAACTACAGTTCCCAGAATATCTTGTGCCAAAGTGCAGCTGGGATTTGCGCAGTGCTATCGCATTGCATTCCGGGAAACGTAGTTCTTTCACATTGCCGGCACAACCCAACGGGCGAGTTGGCTCGAAGCCTTCCCCTGTCGGTTGCCGCCCGTTAGAAACCGAAGAGTTCTGGATTTTCGCGGCACACCTGCCTCAAGGCCACGTGACCCGAGGGGAGGGGAAGCAGAGCCGCCAAGACGCACAGCGCGGAAGAGTATTGCAGTTTCCCTGACCGAGGTTACTAAGTAACGGTGTGTATTCGTGCGCCCTTTCCCTCCTCCTCCTACTTTCAATCGAAAGAAGACCAAGATGGCGGCGAAAGCAGCCGTTAGAGGTGGTCTGTGAGGGGACAGTTTCTAGGGGCGCCTTAACTGCTCTAGAAGGTACGAACGGGTGCGGGACGAGCCGCTTAGGACGGCAACCAGATGAACGGCGGCTGAGGAGGGCAGAAGAGGTGGCGTTTCTCTCAGTCTTTCTCAAGTAGCCGCCGCCCCCCCCCAGGTGGAAAGCTACGGGTGGCAAACAATGTGTGTGGGACGGCGGAGGGGGGAGGTGTCTACCGCCGAGCTTTTCCTCGGCTTGTCCGGTGAGGGGGCGTGGCTGCCCTCCTGACCGCGTTATTTTGCCACGCGCCCTTTGCCTTTTCCCTCCCCCTCGCCCGAACCCCGCGCGGGGCCTTTGTTAGGCTCCTCCCCTCGCGCTCCGCTAGGGGAGGGGCGTGGGGGCTTTGTTTCTAAGGGGTTGGCGGCTCCTACTTCTCTCATTGGCCTTCCGCCAAGGCCGCCTCTCTTGCTCTCCCGCCCGCCCCCGGTCCGGACTTTGCCGCCGATTGAATGGCAGGCGCGGGCTCTCTGGCCTTGCGACTCCGCCCTGCCAACCGTCCTCCTAACTCCCCCTTCCTATTTGCCTGCAAAAGGGAATCAGGTAAGACTCGGTAGTGATAAAAACCAGAGAAGATTGCAGAACAGGAATTTGCGCTTACTCGGCTCCTCCATTCCAGCGAAGAATCGAGGCCGCTCACTGGAAAGTGGCTGCGTCCTGGTGAAGACCTTCCACTCCACCTGTCTTAGGTAATTCCTTGGAGTTGAGAGGTGTAATTGCCGTGGGACCATTTGCAGCTGGAGCTCTTAAAAAAGAAAAGTGCCTGGATTTGGGGAATTCTTTTTCAGGCTACCTAATCTTATTAAGGCAGTTCACCTGTGTGGGACTTAACCGTTAGGAGTTTGCACATGACAGACCAATTAAATTGTGAAGGTAGCATAGGTGCTGTGCTTGTGTGTTTTGCAGTTTCCGTAAAGCTTCCGTGTGCTATACACTTGTCTATGCATCCTGGAAATCTTTGGTTTTTAAATAGAAAAAAGTCCTTTTAAGTGGCTGTTACCTACAGTAGCTCAAGTTCAGGTTGGTAGTCAGAGTTTTCTGTAGATAAATAGTACCAATTCTGCAACAATGGAATAAGAATTTATGATAAAAATCAAAGGGCTGAAAATTAGAGACGAGTTATTTAAGGTACAGGCCTTCATAGATGACTTGCTTGTAGTGGCAGAAGATCCACAAGAATCAATTAGAGCACTTATGAAAGAATTAAGAGTTTGGACAAATGGCGGGCCTGAAAATAAACCATAGAAAGACAAAAATTCTACCCAAAAACATGCAGTGTAAAGAAATAGATGACCTCTTGAACCATACAAATTTCCAGGATGGAAAGTGAAAATATCTTGGAATAAACTTACAAAAAAGTACCTTACTGAAAGATAATTACCTGAAATTAAAGAAAGAAATAAAGACTTGGCTAGATGGGGGAATCTCTAATTAAAAATGATTGGCATGACTGCAACAGACTCCTTTGGTATATTTATCAAGTTATATTTAGTAACTCTAATGTGCAACTAATGATTTTGTTTGGGTTTGTGGCATTGTTGTGAAAAATATCAACTGTAACAATAACAATCATAACTGAGATAGTACATTTGAGGAAGTAAACTGTAGTCTCCAGAAACTTACGGCATAAATGAAATGTGTTGATGTGTAGACTTTTGTTTCTACTGCAACAGACTGACATGGTAAATTCTTTGTGAAAAGATAAGTTATGAGGGATTCTTCTTTGGTTCATCCTTTAATCTGAGCAATTTTAAAGGGTTAAAGGGGTTATTTTCCCAACTGCAGGGTGGCTTTAAAATAAACTGATATAAAATTATATACAAGATGTCTGCCAAATCAAACTAATTAATGACTGAAAGCAACACATTGCTACTTTTGAACAGCAAAGTGAAGTATTTTTAAGGTGTTTTTTTTAATCATTTGAATGTGACTCACATATTCAGACATTAAGGTATTTGAGTGTCTGCGCATGTTTAAAGGCAACAGTGCCTCATTGACTATGCTTCTATTAATTTTACAGTGTTGGTCATGTCATATGTAGAAGAGAATTTCTAAGATAAGTTTGTGGCAACAAGAGTCGGGTTTTCAGGGTACCAGGAGTGTATTATATGTTTAGCAAAGTATTGCAGGATGGGGTTACGCTCCCTCTGAAAACAGGTGTTCAGCTTGGTGATGCTCCTGTATTTATTTCTGACTCTGGATGCTCAGGACTGCCTTTGCATAATTAAAACTAGGGCACAATTCCTGGAGAAGTTTGATCTGGCCACGGTGGCACATGCCCCTCGGCTGGATTACTGTAGCGCACTCTATGTCGGACTGCCTATGGAAAATGTCAGGAAACACAGCAGCCATATTGTAACTGGGCCTGATCACTGGGATCACACAGCCTGTCTGTTACAGCAGCTCCACCAGCAGCCGATCTGTTTCTGAGATAAATTCAAAGTGTTGGTTCTAACCTATAAATACCTAAACGGCTTGGGCACAAACTAGTTCAAGGACTGTATCTCCCTTTATGAAGCCTGCTTGAGTGTTAAGTTCATTTATTTTTATTTATTTTAGTTACCGTATACCTCACCTATCTGTTCAAAATGACCACTCTAGGCGGCTCATCAGGAGAAGCCTTCTTCTCAGTCATGCCACCTTCACAAGTGCATCTAATGGGAACACAGGAGAGAGCTTTCTATGTTGCTGCTTTCAGACTTTGGAATTCCCTCCCACAGGAAACCAGTCTGGCCCCATCTTTTCTGTCCTTCCACAGTCAGGCAAAGACCTTTCTTTTAGGCAAGCTTTTCCTGAGTGAGTGAATGACTGCCTGAGTGGGGTTTTAAATGGATTGTTGTATTTTGAATATGTTTTGATGTTGCTAATGTTTTTTCTTATGGTATTAGTGTGACTTTTTTGTATTTGTATAATCACCATTGTTAGAGTTAAATACTGTCTTTTAAGGATGTAAGCTGCCTTGGTTCCTTTTTAAAGAGAAGGGTGAAGTGAAAATAGCTTAAATAATAATAATTATTCCTAGTAAATATTGTTACACCTATCTCACTTCTCTCTTGTGTGGAGAAGTATCATGGGAAAAGTACAAAGTTCCCTCTAAAGTGTGTGCTTGCAGGACTCCTCCTTGCACCCACAGCCATTGTTTCAGCTTCTTTAGGTCTGGTCATGATGGAACCATGCACGGGTGGTGGTGGTGGTCACAAACACAGGGAGAGACAGCGTTGCATGCATGAGGGGCAGAGCCCTGCCCAGTGGGTCTGATAATTAGAGGGAACATTGGATGAGTATTAATTCAGAGTTTGTTCTCTTTGGAAAGTGTTTACTTAGGAAAATGCTGTAGCATTTATTTGTTGTTGTTTAGTCGTGTCTGACTCTTTGTGACCCCATGGACCAGAGCACATCAGGCCCTCCTGTCTTCCACTGCCTTCCGGAGTTGGGTCAAATTCATGTTGGGAGCTTCAATAACACTGTCCAACCATCTCATCCTCTGTTGTCCCCTTCTCTTGCCTTCACACTTTACTTACATCAGGGTCTTTTCCAGGGAGTCTTCTCTTCTCATGAGGTGGCCAAAGTAGTGGAGCTTCAGTTTCAGGATGTGTCCTTCCAGTGAGCACTCAGGTTTGATTTCCTTTAGAATGGATAGGTTTGTTCTCCTTGGAGTCCAGGGGACTCTCAAGAGCCTCCTCCAGCACTACAGTTCAAAAGCATCAATTCTTCCTTGGTCAGCCTTCTTTATGGTCCAGCTCTCACTGGAACACCTTTTAAACAGAACACCTTTTAATCCAAGCACCTTTAAAACCAAGCCAAGCACCTTTCAGGTTAAAAGGGCAGGAAAGGAGGGAGGGAGGAATGATGGGGAAAAGAGGTAAGAAAGAAAAAAGGTCATCACTGGGGCACACAAAATTATCAAATAAGTTTGTGCTGTTAAGCACAAAAAGAGAGAAGACAGAGAGAGAAGACATTGGGGGGGGGGATTTGAGTCTACAGTAAAATCCATTTTAAAGACTGCCTGCCTGCTTGCATCAAGCACCACAGCCCCTCAGAGAATGTTTTCTGATTTTAAAAGAGACAGACCTTGGGGCCACATTTTAAATGCACACATTTTAAAACTAAAGAGAGATCACAGTACACAAACCTTAGAAGTCACAGAATTCAGCAACCATTATTCCAGCACAGAACTCCTCATTACAAAAAGAGAACATAGAGAGAGAGAGGGAGAGAAGACAATTGAGGGGAAGAGAGACTTGAGTCTAAACTCCATTTTAGAGCAAGTCAGCCAGACAGAATATTTTCTGATTTTAAAAGAGACAGACCTTGGAGCCACATTTTAAACACACACATTTTAAAACAAAAGAGAAGTCACAGTACACAAACCCTAGGAGCCACAGAATCGAGCAAGCATTATTCCAGCACAGAACTCCTCATCACAAAAAGAGAGCAGAGCAGAGAGAGAGAGAAGACAGTGGGGGGGAGAGAGGGAGAGACTTGAGTGTACAGTAAACTCCATTTTAAAGTCTGCCTGCCTGTCTGCATCAACAAGCACCACATGGGGAAAACATCGCAAAGCGATTTTTCCCCATAGGCAACATCGGTATGCGATCGCTTTTCCGATCGCAAAATCCGCATCGGTATGCGGATTTGTCGTTAAACGGGGCACTCGTTATACGAGGCACCACTGTATTACAGTCTACTTTTCACTTTTAAATCCACACTGCAAGACCCATCAGAGCACAGAAACATAACCCGCCCTAGCCCTACCCCCTCCCACCAAGCTGCAAAAAACCCTGTATAGTACAGTAAATACAGTGTACTCACCCAGAACCGGCAGTATCTGGTTTTTTTTAAAGTCAAAAATCCAAAAATAATTTTTAACCTCCCCCCAAAAAACAGTCAGTACAGTACAGTACCAGGCAGTCTGAAGACTCTCTCCCTATCCACACTATAACCGTCGGAGCGACCGAGGTAGCAGACAAGCAGCCTCTTCGCTGGCCAATGGTTAACAGAAAGTTCAACTTTCATGCTTTCCCCACTTCCCCCGTGTTTTTTTCCGTCCGTAACTCGAAGCTCTGGCCACAAGTCGAAGCAATATTTTTATAACTTGAAATTTTTGTAAGTAGGGACGTTTGTTAAGTCGAGGCACCACTGTAATTGTTTGGATTAGTGATCTTTAATCTTAAAATTCTTTGGGCTAGAAGTTTTGTACTGATTTAAAACATGTTTTAACTAGAATTGTCTTCAGGACTTCAAACTTTTTGGTATCCCATTTGGGTTTTGACACTGAAGCTATCATCATTTTGGGGAGAAAGTCTTATTGAACTCTTTTTTGGGCTCCCCTCTAATAACCCTGTAAATGTTTTGGGATCAGGATTTGGAGATTTAGTCAATTTTCCTTTGAACAGAGAATAGAAAGCTTGGAGGGGGTTGTATATAAACTGTTTGTATATGAACACATTTATTTTTAAGTTGTCTTTAGTATATTTATTTGGGGACAGTAGATTTGTGCAAAACATTAGTGCCAACTTATGTGCCATATCTCAGTAATCATGGAATGTAAAGAGCATGGCAGGGCAGCAAAGCTTTTATAAGAGGATTCATCTGAAAATAGCTTCTAGGAGAGAAACAAGAAAGACTAGCTGGAAAAGCTAGCCTTTTCCTGGGCACAAGGCTCACTGGATGACCTTGGGCTAGACATACACTCTTAGCCTGACCCCCTCGCACAGGGCAGTTGTGAACATAAAGAGGGGAAGTGGAAAACCATGTGTGCTTCCTTGAGCACTTTGAAAGAAAGATGGTACATAAATTTAACGAACAAAAGCAAGTAAAGACCATACAGTTGGATACCTGCATCAAGTCTTGTTAGCTCAAAATATAGTTTATTCAGTAGGTTATGGAGTTAGATTTTTAAGAAAGATAATAAAAATTTTAAAAATGGAATATTTGTGTTGTCCTTGAGTAAGGCATTTTAGCATTGTTGGTGTTCTCATGAGAATAAATCTAATTGAATTCATTAGGGCTACTTTTGAGTAGATATCCATAGGCTTGTACTGTCAGGCAAATATGTTTAGGTTTTCAACCTGAGAGTATACAGTGGTGCCTC